TCTCTCTCTCTCTCTCTCTCTCTCTCTCTCTCTTTATTCCTCTTATTTGTATTCTCTTCCTTTATAGACCTTCTCTCTCTGTGCGATTTTGTTTTCCTTCCGCTGATCTCTTTTTGTTTTGACAACAACGTACGGAACGCGAATATTTCCTCGCCTTTGCTCAGTGGGTTCGGTATCGGAACGCACGTGTTTCGTTTAAACGAGAGACGGTAGGTAGAAACGACGATGCTGTCGACGAAGCTGTCTGTGGCGATTCGTCGTCGTCTCGAAAACGAACGTGGTACATCCTGCCGAGCGGACAAATGTGTGGCGCTCCTAGGGTCTTCGGGTATCATAAATAATACTCATCGGTTTTTATAGCGAGCCATTATAACTCAACGACAAGTCATTGAACACAGAGAAACAATCGTCTCTCTTAACTCATTCTTTTAAATGATTATGACCGAAGAGAAGTGGAGAGTTAACTCGACTGAATGTGACAACTAAATGCGATAATATTGCGACATTTTTAACGATCAAGCAATTTTAAACTTTTTTAAATTCTTTTTAATTGTTTAACAAATAAAATTATTTCAATTGTTGTGATCTTATTATATATATATTTTTTTACACAATTTTAACAAAAACAAATATTTTAAATAATATTAATTTAAAGTTAAAATAAATAGTATATTTTGATCTGAAATTTTTAATTTTACAATTTATTATAATTTATAACATTAAATTGAAACAATTCGATAAATAATGCTCTTTTAAGTATCTTATTAAGAAAATTAATTTCAAATTCGCTCTCTCTTCAAGTAATATATATGTATGTATGTATATAATCATAGTAATTGTAATTAGAACTATATCCGGTGATATACTGAGACTCCCTATGTACGAAATTTGTATGCTTCGCGTGTTCTTAAGCCAACGTTGCGATATAATCGCACACATGGGCGCAATTTTTTCGGAAGTCAGCGAAAGAAATTTACTTGTGCCGGTGAATGCGCAACCGTTTTTTCTGCGATCTTTGCTGGAGATAAATCCAGCTCACACGAGTTCCGTTTGTCTATCAGTAGGATCGCATTCAGCGTGGGCACAAGATGAGTCGGCCTGCCGCGTTTAACGCTAAATGGGCGATGAGAATGTCGACTGATGAAGCATTTGCGTGTGGCGTTTTTTCGCACGGCTAAGGAGATTTGGCATGATTATGCCTGAAAGAATCGTTGGAAAGCTGACACCCGCGTCGGACCTATTTTTCTACCCGCATACACGTTACTCTTTGTTCGAAGAAAGTTCGAGAGACAAAATATAATGCAAACATTGTATACATATGTCTGGCATTATATATTTTTACACAAAATAATATATTGATAGAATAAGTAATAATATTCTTTATACATAAAATTTCTATCTATATGCATTACGTGCTGATATTAGTATAATTCTTTTCTTTTTACGTATCATATTTATCTAAATTATTAACTGTTATTAGTTATTGAAAAAAAATAAAATGTTAATTTTAACATTTTTTCATGTCTCAGAAAATTAATATTTTATTTTTTACAGTGTATTATTATTTAGCTAAATTTGGTGTATTAGTGACTTTCTTTTATTTTATCTTCTAAACATGTCAGAAGCATTATTACTATTCTCTCCCGAATTGTTCCGTATAACTATGCTTCGCGTATTAAAGTGAGTCTGTTTCCGGTGTTAACACTCAGAGCCTGTCCACGTGTATCGCGAAGCGTGTAATACAATCGCGATAATTTGCCGTGTAGTACAATTATTGCGGAATTAACCGCGTCTCAAGGGCGCGGCTTTGCTGACTTACGTTATGCGGCAGCGCGATTATTACGACATTAATTTCATTTTATGCTTCCTGTTGCAGGTCCAAAGGCGCGGAATAATTCGGAACAACGGCTCGCTTCGCCTCGCCTCGTCTCCTGCAGAAAACAATCCTCCGTTATTAGACGACTGCAATAAGCGTAATCGCCGGCTCGAAAGTAACGTGAGTATCGAGTATACTAGATCGTCATTCCCTCTTGCTGTATTCGTCGATTCTACGCTGATCTTTTGACGATCGTTTTTGAAGCGTGTTTTCGTTCCGTGCCACTTTCACGGAGAGAAAATTTCTCATGGAATTCTATTTTCCTCTTTTCTGTTATTGTTCCCCTTTACCTGGTCCGTTCGATGTTAGTTTTTCACATTGACAGTGAATGTAGAATATGGTGTGCTTCAAGAAAGAGACCCTGAAATAGGATTATCCAGACTGACTTGCTTACCCAAGTAGTACGAGAGAGTAGTTCAAATAGCATCTTCTAAACTGTTCGTCTGATTTCTGTTGTCTTGATAGTCGGCATTATTTTGATGGGCGGTTTTACTTATATTGCTATGCGCGCAAAGCTCATAATTATGATTTATACTCTTTCTCCACTATCTACTCTCCAAACATCCTGCAGTTTATACATAATAGCGCGAGTTGTAATATACCGTTGCGGTGAGATGGTACTCGAGACATTACTTCTGTGTCTATCATCTATCACGGTACGCTGCACACGAACCAATTAATCTTAATTGTACATTGGTATTGTAGAGGAATGTGTTTGAGAAGGAACAATTACTTGTTCTCCTTTTCGCGAACAGAGTGCTATTATCTTTTTTTTTTTCACGTAATACAAACTAATACAAACGCGATCCCGTATTTAAGGATAAATGTATCGTCCGAAAATTGCAGCGACTGAGACGACTTCTGTTTCGACATCGAAATGCGCCAACCAAAGTTAAATTTTTCAAGCCACTTGTGCGAACGCGATTTGCCTCTCCATTGGCACAATTTTCGCAATACACTCCTGAATACTCGCCATCGTTTACGCCCGAACTGGTCGAGCTTTTCATCGAAACAGAATAGTAGTCGACATGAAAGGGCAAAAGAGACGGAAAGAGGAAAAAAGAAAGAATAAATGGAGAGGCAGCCTGTATGTTATCGAACGAATACGTCGATGTGTCGAGGCAAAATCGACATTCCAACTACTACGCGTGAATTTTTATATACGCCAGACGGAAATTTAGGATAGTCGGTCTTATGGAGATTCCGGGAAGAACAAAAATTTGAATGGCAGCTCGCGCTTTGCGAAATAAATCTTGCTTTGTTCTAAGAAAATTGAAGAAAAAAGGAGTTACATATTGCGATATCAAAGGGATAGAAAATTAAAGAGGAGGCATTCTCATTACTACCGAGGGAAGTGCCCAAAGTGATAATTGCGCCGGAAATTCCTAAACTATCAGGTATCCGAACTGTTGCTAATGGCATGTGTTTCTAATCACTAGGAATGCGCCGAGCAACAGAAATTTCCGAGAGAAGAGATCCGACATATTTGTGTCGGAATTAAATTTAATTTTAGTCCAGCTGATCATTCAGAATTATTTCTGATTACTCTGAATTTTCGAGTGCAATATCTCGGCTTTCTTCAATCTGATATACCGATAACAATCGTTCACTCAAACTTTGTCATTCCTGATGTTTTTAACTTGAATTTCCATTTTACGTCAAGGCTACTCACGTCCCGAGTAGCCGATTATCGTTAGTCCCTTGTAGAATCGAATAGACCCCCCTCCACTCCCCAAAAAAGTAACCAGGTTCCTGACCTGTGTTCATATAAAGGGACAAAAATTTTAAATCGCATTTTCAGACCCGACGAGTTTGTCATATACGTTAGTAATTGTCTTCGAGACTTTAAGATGCCGTCGAAAAAATTAGGTAATTAAGATGGCTGTCTACCGCTGCAACGCCCGCCGTACACACCCCGTTCGTTGCTGCGCTCTCTCCTTGGTCCTTTGCTTCTTTGCGTCGAGACGAGGTTTTTACCGTGCTGGATGCTGCAACCGCTATGATATTGCATGCTGACGGAATTTTGATGCGGTTCGTGCCGTATATGGGCATGGATATCCGCTAGTGCCTATTTCACGATTCTTAATCTCCAAGCGAGGTCGCTCGAACTCCGGACTGCGTCGAAAAAACGTTGCCGTGACGAACAACAAAAACTAGAAGAAGGATAAAATCATTTTTTTTTTCTTTAAGTGGAATCATATAGATCTCATTGTATCGAAAACGGAGCAAAATTGATGGTGCACACAGAAAGCTAGACTATTTGGTAGTAGAGGAGTATTCAGCTCGAGACGCTTTTGAACAAACAAACCTTTCTTCGGGTCAGTTTCAAACAGGGAAACCATTTTTCAAACAGAAACTGTATTGACTGCTGAACTCTTATGTTGCCTGCCGCCTACTGTAGCGTAGCTATTGTCAAAAATGCAATAGCTCGTCATTCATAAGTATAGCAAAAAAAGTATCGAGTTTAAATCTATCTCTCGTATTGAGAATTAATTATTTTTTTATGAATTATCCTACTAAAGTTAAAAATATACTTACGTAGTATATAAATTCACGCACGCAATTACAGAAGCACCCAAAATCCAGCTTGATCGTTACAGCTTGTTTCTCATATCATTGGTTTTAATTCTCATGGTTCTATAGGATTTAGTATTATACTATCTAAACTTATGTGCCTTAATTAAACATTTTATGTTTGGCGCTTTTAAGTCTGCATGACAAACTATTGTCTCGAAGTTGTTAATCCTTAAACACGGGTATGAATGGGGATATTCAAATTATGCAACAAAGCTGTATAGTGTAAAATTAAGCTAGAACGTTTAACTAGATTTCACGTTAATATAACTTTTAACTTGAGAATTAATTATACGACGTTGTTATATTTGAAAGAGCAGTAATAAGAATATAGAATAGAAATAGAAATAAATTAGAATTACATTAAAGCTTTATTAAGTAAAAAAACATTCCTTAATTAGATAAAGAATCCAGAACTTAAAGGATGATCGTAATTTTGAAATATTCTATATAAACTCTCGGATTTTTATTTCTCTTTATCTGACATCGTCAGAAGACCGCGGAGGAACTTATTTTCGTTATCGCAACGAAATAAGAAACGCTGGTTTCTCCGTCATTATAGCTGCGATTAAGACAAGAAAATTACTTCAATTTGATATAAATGTTCATGGGACGATATTATCATAAGAATTTTGAAAGAATCAGACTTCATTAAGATAACTTTCTTTTAAAGATAATTTTTCTTTTTAAAATGTCAGTTAAAGAGGCGTACGAAGAGAAGATGAAATACGTACACACAATGTCCCCGAAATTACCGTCACGTTTTTGAGTGAAGTGAATAGTGATTTTGGACTCGAGAATCTCGAGATTAAAAAACTTCGGGCACTTTGCCCGAGAGTGTCCGTGGTCCAAGCGAATGCCGGGATGCCGGTATCGAACGAAAATGTCGAGAAGGGAAGGGAGCGACGTATCGCCGACGGCAAGATCAAGAAAGAGCGCGTCTTGTACTACCGCGATAACTGGCGTGATTCCAATGGACAAAGCGAACAGGGTGGCAACAAGAAGGGCGAAATAGAGGCGCGGGCACAACACCCGAAAACGAATCCAGTCATTCTCGAAATAGGCACTTGGAATGCCGGTCCTCGGCAAGAGCTAGTCCTTCTAGCAGACTTCGTGTTCCATGTCACCCGTTCTGTCTCTCTCCTTCTTTCTCGCTACGCCCGTAGTCTGTCTCGATCCTTGACTGCGCCTGCCATTATCCTCGACTATCATTAACCCCATCAACTGTTGTAGTCGAATTTGGATAAGGTAACCGATTGGTGGGCTCTAATAAAGAAATGATACCACATTTATGTTAATGGATCGGCAAGCCACTTAGACCTTGGCTCTATATAGCGATAAGAAAGACATGAATGCTTCGTAAAATTATAAAGAAATCAGAGATGCCGTTAGCGATTCCTCTTGCATTCTTCTTAAATGCCTTATCAAGTATTCGCAATAAGGCATGTGCCTGCTTTGATCTTTCTATGATTGCTCAAAATTAAAATTCGTTATCGCGCGATCATCTTTTTAAACAAATATCTTTTTATATATAATATTAATGTAAAATTATTTATTATCGATATTAATATATTTATGTTTATATTAGGTACACGTCTAATATAAGCTCTCTTTTGGTATTGTATAAATTTCCGTAAAAGTTCTTAAAATATTATTTCATCTCCTTTTCACATAAAAAAATAATATCTGCGATGTCATACTTGAAATTAAGAGGAGTTCCATACACCGTCAGCCTTCTATGTCGTTTCGCGTAATTATTTTCGCGCGCATCACTTGGTCCCTTGAGAACAAGCAAATATCACGTGGCGGTACGATTGCACCTTTCCACCCACACATCTCCACAGCAACGAAGTTGAAAAGACTATTCGCGCGATCTCGGAAGGTATACCGACTACCGAGATAGAACGGAATGGCGGGCGATGGCAAAGGAGGCAAAGCAGTGGAGATGGAGGCCACCGAGAAAGATACCGATGGCATTTAGTAGCTTCGCTCGGAACGTTTTAGATAATGACTGGGTGGATTACGAAGTCTAGACGAGGAAAGAGGGAAGGCCTTCTTTTCCTCTCGTTCGATTCCGCCGCCGCCGCCGTCGCCGCTGCCGTTGCTCGGGTGAATCGAAACGAGAAGTGGAAACTGGACGCCAGAAGATCGGAGAATGAATGGCGAGAGCGAGAAAGAGTGAGAGACGTTGAAAGATCGACTGAAATATACGAAGAAACGAAGATGAAGGTGGTCAGTCGCGTCCTGACGATAGCGAGTTTTCATTCCGAGGCATTATTCACATCGTTTGCCAGACAAACGAACGAGGCGGAAAATTCGCCGGAGCGAGAAACATTGCGTTTTCGAGTGCGTCGTCCAAAAAAGAAAAGTCCGCGATGGGTGTTGCCATCCCTTCGCCACCCCGTTCCAACGTGTGGTGCAGTGGCGAATACTGCGCCACCACCCCGGTTCGTTCGGTATAGTCTCGATTTTTGTCTCTCCTCCGTTTTTTGCCTGGTATTTCTCTATTTGAGCACCTTTTTCCGGTGGTCGCAACGAGAGCCCCG